ATTTACCGCGACCTTGAGCGATCTATACTTCCTAGATATATCGTACAAACTGGGAAATAATTGAGAAATTTAATAGTTTTAAATATTTGTGGGAAAACATTGCCAAAAATTGACACACACCGTGAACATTTTGAAAAACATCAAATATTTTTCTCCAACGTTTGAAACTAGAATCAGTGCCATTTTCAAAATAAGCATGCTTAATATCGATATCTTGTATCTCTTTTGTTGGAATGACTTTTTATGATCTTGATCATCCTATTTGCATTATTAAAATTTTGTCTTTGCTTTTTTTAGCACACTACTGTTTGACCAACCCTTGTCAGAACAATGGTTCATGCGTGCTGACATCGGATAATTACACGTGCAGTTGTTTATTGGGATTTATCGGCGACTTCTGTGAAAGTAAGCGGTCAAGTACCATTAATTAAAGCTTAATTAATGCCTAATTATGCATAACGTACGCTTAAACGCCATATAGACATGAATACAGAAAACTAATATAGCTTTATTACATACTAAGGTTTCGCCTTTAGCCAGGGGCGGTGCTAATTGGTGCGTGTGTGTGTATTCTTTGTTGTGTATAAATACTTTTTACTAGCGTATTTTGTATTCTATACTATATAAAGCACGATATAAAGTAGGCTACACTTAATCAACTGTGCAGAAACTAGCTGCATGCTTTTTGAGCAACGTTTAAAATATTCAAATAATGATTGCATAGTTGAATACTTCACCCCGGGCCAACGGCGCGAATCGTGGTTTCGGGCCTATAAGCCCGAGGCGAGGAAAACACCTGGGAAAACGAAAGCATTGGCGCAGTTTAAAGTTCATAATAATCGCGGGCGCATGGCTATGTTTCATCGTGCATGGGTGGTCATCCTCACTGATCTCAAAAATATAGCTCTTGGCCAGGAGTGAAGGAAGCAAAGATAAAAAAAAAAACATGTAAGAAAGCTTGAGAAATCATTTCACACAATAAGTTTTAGCCATTTTTTTAATTTTTAAAGAAAACGATAAGAATGGTTTATTATAACAAACCGTGAAGTGTTTGGTAAATTTGTTTTAACTGTTTATATAATATGTACTTTGTTGTTCAATTTTTGCCTAATTTCTGCACTAAGCATGCACTGAGATCGTCTAAAGTAGAGCGATCTCAAAGCGATCCGAAGCCGGGTTTTACATTAAAATAAAGTCTATAGAATGCAAAATAACATACCTAGTTTATATATTTTAGAATTGATACGGTCTTTTAATAGTTAATTAAAAAGTGTTAAATTTTCGCCTGTTTTTTCCCGTTTTGCACAAAAATTAAAAAAAAAACAATGATCGTGTTACCACAGAGTAGATACATACAGAGCTGTAACAGGCCGTCGTTAACACTGCGGAAACTTAGTACGTTTTCATGTACCCACTTTTTTTCAGGCGACCAGGCAAAAAATGATCAACTGCGCGTGCTCGGCAAGTTCCGCGAGCAGTTAAAGCGAACCACCATCCAATGGGATGCATGCATCCAGTGACTTGCCGAGCACGCGCACAAAAAAAGTGGGTATACTAGTTGTAACTCCGCGTATATGTATCTACTCTGTGGTGTTGCCATGGTTCACATGACGCAAGCAATACGAGTCTGCGTTCAGTGTTGGCGTAATTCGGAATACTTCCTGTTGAAACAATGTTTGGAAAATAAAGGCGAGGGGTTCCTGCATGCATGTATTTCTAGTATGCGTATTCTAATAATTTCCGTCTCAGCTACATGTTCAACTGCACCTTTAATCGGACGCAGAAAGCCGCGAGTTGGATGCGCAGTGGAAGATGTCTTGAACTAAAGACGAAACATTAGTATATACAATAAAATTACATTTCTATATTGATGTCTCCATGGCGTTTATGCGTGCGTTATGCTGAGTATTAATTCTTATGTTACATTGACTTGGTTGCCTAGTTTGATTGTTAATTATTTGGTAAATGGTAATTAAAGAACATTTTTAACTCATTTCAGTTGATATTTGTGGAAGTGATCCATGTTTAAATAATGGTTCGTGTCTTCCAAATATTATATCTGGTTATGAATGTACTTGCAGAGATGGCTTTATCGGTTTAAATTGTGATAGTAAGTGTTTAATTTCAGTTTTTCTCGTATAAACTTTCACATATGTGATATGTACTTAGTTTGTGAGTTAGTTTACAATATATAGTTAGTTATAGCATTGAAAAGTTTTGTTCAATACTTAATTACATAAGTAAACGCATTAATTTATTAATTAGGTGATTACTTAATTAGTTAATTATTGAAACCTAATTTGCTCATACGTTAATAGTTATCTAGTGGCTTCTTTCGGTTGTCAAATAATAGGTTTGTTAGGAACAGCATTAGTTTTCACAAGTAATCATAATTCAATTATTTTATTTATTTCAGCTGACCTCTGTGCAAGTGCTCCATGTTTTAACAATGGTACGTGTGTGGGAATTCCTGAAAATTATAAATGCAACTGCCCCTTTGGATTTGCTGGTTATGATTGTGAAAGTAAGTGTATAGTGCTAACTTTATTCTTCTTATAAAATTTCACCTAACAAATTTTAGTTTGTGAGAGCACCATGGTAGAAAGCTCTCGACCCTGTTTTTTAGATGGACTGAGGCTAGGTGGAATAAGGTGGAGTGCGGTTGAATGTGGTTGTATGAGGACGGTACAGTATATGAGGTGGTTTAATGTTGAGTTAAGTGATGTCACTGATGTGCGGTGCTGCGAGCTGGAATAAGATGGCGTTAAACAATGTGGGATGCTGCGATGGTGAAGTTACCATAGAGATTATAAATAACACTATAGAGGTGGCATCTTAATTCAGTCAAAGAAAGAGAACGCGGCTATTGGGGGGCAAAAAATTAAAATGCTAAAATAAGAGCGAGTTTGAGCCAAAATCTCTAAATTCTTGTTTATGGCAGTTAACTAGTCCCGTTTTGATTTCTACCATGCGTTTTTACCTCGTTTGTCTATAATAAATATAAATTTTATAAATAAAGCGCTCCAAAATAATGCTGATGTCATGCAAAACATATAATACACCCTAGTTTTGTGACTGTTGTTTTAATTTTTCCGGTTTCAAGTGTATTAAACCCAAGAATTGTGTGGTGTTCATTTGGTATTTCAATTTGCCCCCATTACCGCTTCCACATTTCACCCTTGATGCCCCCTCTAGTGTTATTTATATTCTCTATGGGAGTTACCTCATGTGAAGTAGAAACAAAGTAGCTTGAAGGGGTATAGAGTAAGGTAGTGTGAAGTAATGTGAGGTCGAATGAGGTGAGGTACTAAGGAGAAGATGTCTATAACGTGCTCATGTGAAATAGGATGAGGTGGGTTAAGACAAAATAAGGTAAAATCGGGAGTGTCTAAAGACTTGCTATAACAGGCCCTATAAGACTTCTGAATTATTTATAGTATTGGAAATGATGCAGGATTTCCGTCTAAATGAAATATCTCTGCAAGAATTTGGTAAAAGTATTCCAGTCATATGGGAAATGACATCTGGCATAAATGTCACAGTCAACGTAACTTACAACGGTATCCCATGCTGTAGTGCAGGGCCACTCACAAACACCACAGGACAGTGTGACTGTCTAATTTCGGATCCAGATCTCTTTGACACCGATGGCATGGTGAACATCTCCGCCACAGCTTGGAACCGAATTTCTGGACCGGAGACAAAATCACTTGATATCGAGGTAATGAAAGCGATATTTATTGATAATTTTCTATTTGTAATTTTTTAAAATTATTCTTTCGAAGAAACAAAAATCATGACCATGAAGGAGTTTGTTTGTTTGATTCAAAAACCTGTTAAGTTTTTTTTTCTATCATTTTTATCAAACATTATTCATATTTTAAAATGATTGGAAATATAACTGGTGGTCAGCGCCAACTGAAGACAACTCGCCTTCGGCTTAATTTAAACTTGTTTATCATATACAACAGTTCATATTGTGTATATTAATTATGTAAACATAGAAGGAGTAGTTTTTAACGACGGTTACGTTTTTCAGGTACTAAAAAAAATCGAAGATATTTCCTTCGCAATGTTGACCACCTACGCACAATTTGGCTCTGGCGTTGAAGGTGCAGGACCCAATCGTAATATATTCCCAGCAGAATACCCTGTGGAATTTAACATTTCGTACACTGGGGGTCCAGTTGCGACTGTGGAATGTTCCATTATATGCTCTGTTGATTCGTTCACTAACATGACCGAGTATGCTTTTGAAAAAAGTTTTTCAAGTACAGAGAGCCAAGATTGTGATGTAACACTGCATCTACAAAATAGTATTGATGCTACAGGTAATCGACACACTTCATGTAGAGCACCATCATGACTGAAAAATAGTGAGCTTGCCCTATAATTTATCTGACGACAAGATATAATTTTTGAGTGTAAGCAAAGTATATGCCTACTAACAATCGTTCGCTTAAGCGACTGGACTATTAGCATTTGCATAAGACTATTACTACTAACATATCCTACAAAGTAATTGGTTGAAATTGAGTGTCCATTATACGTACCGCCTGCCTACTAGGAATTAAAAATCAAGTTAATTTAGCATATGATCTTTAAACCCTGAAAATGCCACTAAAATCAAGAAGAAAAGCGATAACCAAGTACGCAAAACGCCTTCGAATTAAGCGGGTATTTTTCTCATTGTCAGTATATTTTTCCGTATAGCACGTACAGCTATATTTTAGTTTGCAAACGTTTCGTTAAATCTTCATTAATTTTGTTATGTTCAGCAAAAATTTTGTTTTGATATATTTTTTGAACCATCTTATCTTGTATTTATTCTCTTCTAAAATGTTTTCGAGTATAATTGTTTTCTTTGCATATCAGTTGACATTATTCATTCTTATAAACATATTTGAATTTCGCTGGGACAACATTTGCAATGGATGTATTATTATTATTATTATTTAATCATATTTAGAAACGGTAGCTCTTCAGGGCACTTGCGCACCTGTTTTTCAAGAGGCCGTTTGGTTAAAAATATTACATAATATAAATATACAATACAATACAGATAAGTAGAACTACAGGCATGCATATATAACAATATAAAACGATTAACCCTACCTCCCCCCCCCTCCCTCCCCCTTACAAACGAACGCACTAATTAAATTTAGATTAAGTGCATACACTTTAACGCGAGGAATAATGATCAAGAATGGACTTAAATTTCTGACTAGTAATTCCTGAACCTTTAGCCTCAAGAGGCAAATTCTTCCAGGCCGAAGAGGCTGTATAGCTTATGCTTTTCTTCAAAAAATTTGTACTTGGTTTGTCAAGGGTGAAATCTCGATTGTTGCTACGGAGGTTATACCGCGAGTTTGTTTTAATATCAAACATATTCATCATACTAATTGGCAGTTCATTATTCCTTACCTTATGCATAAAAAATAGTTTTTTGTGCTTAAGGCGTTCTTTCAAGGGTTGCCAATGTAGTTCTTTTAAAACATCGCGTGATCTTGTTTCGTATGTTCTGCCAGTGATTACACGTGCCGCTCTGTTTTGCAGTTTTTGAAGTTTGTCAATTAAATAATCACTACAATTATCCCAAACAAGGCTGCAGTAGTCGAAATGTGGTAATATAATGGCATTATATACTTTTTTCAATGTTGTTTTAGGAATTATTTTTTTCATTCGCCGTAACATGCCGATACCTTTTGAAATTTTAGTCTGTATGTTTTCGATTTGCCTTTCCCAAGTAAGATTCTCATCTATAACAACGCCTAGAGTTTTAGAATAGCTTACTCGTTTAATTGTTGTTTCGCCTACGTGGATTTCCGGCTCATTTAATACTTTAGATAATCTTTGTCTAGACCCAATTACCATATATTCGGTCTTTTCTTTATTCAAAGTAAGCTTATTAGCCAGCAACCATTGGTGTATGTTGTCTAAGTCATGGTTTAGTTGTTCCTGAATTTCTGCCGCTGATGAGCCATGTGTAGAAATATTTGTATCATCGGCAAACATGCTAGCAGCCGATGAAGACAAGCAATTTGGAAGATCGTTTATATATAATAAAAACAATAATGGGCCAAGATTTGAGCCCTGTGGCACACCACATTTAACGATTCTTTTGTTAGATAATGTTTGGTTAACTTTACACATTTGTACTCTATCAGAGAGATAGGACTGGAACCATTGAAATGATTTTCCTCTTATTCCATAATTATAAAGTTTTCTTAATAGAATACTATGATCAACACAATTAATCGAATGCTTTTTTTAAGTCAAGAAAGATAACACCATTCAAATTTCCCTTATCCATGTTAATAAACCATTGATTTGTAATGCTAAGGAGAGAAGTCTGCGTACAGTGTTTCTTTCTAAAACCAGCTTGTTGTTGTACAAGTAACCCATTCGTTTCAAGATAAGTTTCCAGTTGTTGGGTAATAAATTTTTCAAACATTTTGGCAACGCTAGATAGGATTGAGATTGGCCTATAGTTATTGCATTCAGTTTTGCATCCTGCTTTGTGTATTGGTGAGATTATTGCTGTTTTGAAATCGTTTGGGAATATACCTGTATTTATGGATGTGTTGAATATTAATGAAAGAGAGTAAGATACTATATCAGCTGAATCTTTTAGAATATTAGATATTCCATCGTGCCCTGTTGACTTAGAAACGTTAATAGAGGACAGTATTTTATGAACTTCTATTACAGTAGCATTCTGTATCTGAAATTGTGAATTGCAGCTCGAAAGATATGTCTCGGGTGACCTTGTAGACAGGGTCTTAGCTAGAGGGCCGTGTTGGCCGTGTCATCGCGGCCAAAAGTGGGAAAACACGGCTATATAAGATGAACGCGGCTTCACTTTTCATACAAGGCCGTGTAGGTTCATAAAATAAGGTGGTGCTACTTACAACAGACAGAATTTCTTCCTATTTACGTCGTAAGAAAGTTTGTAAAATCTACTGTTGTTGTTGAATTGGCAAAATGAATCTGTGATGTTTTAATGTTTTGATGGATAATGGGAACTGTATGGTGTTAAAATGGTTTTTAAATACCTCCAAGAGTTGCTGAAATAACTTAATATTTTAATGTCAGTGCGCAATATGAGCGTATGCTCGCCTTGTGTTTGGTTGCAAAGCGTAGAACAACCACAGGCATTGTTGTTGGCGAGCATAACAAAAACCGTGATTTTGCTATTCAAGGTAATTCACATGTGCACACCCTGGTCATTAGAAACACGCCCAAGATCTAAAATCCTAGCTAAGACCATGCTTGTAGATTGCTCCATGTTGCTGGCTAAATTCATTCCGATTTCATTGAAATATGTATTAAAGATATTTGTTATAGAAGAGACATCTGTAGCACTTTGGCTTTCGTGCTTAACTTCTGTGATAATAGTCGTTTTTATTGGTAAGCTTATTAATTGTTTTCCACATCTGTTTTGGATTGTTTTCACAGTTGTTAAGAGTATTTGTAAAATAGTCTGTCTGTGTTCTTTTAATCAATTTGTTAAGCTCATTTCGTGCTTTGGTAAAAGCGTCATGAAATTGTTTAGATCCAGTTTTTACTGCCTTTCTTTTCAAGAAGTCCCTACGGTGCATCATATTTTTAATTTCACTGGTAATCCATGGAGCATATTCACTTCTTACTTTCTTAGTAATCGGTGGTGCATGCCTATCTGCCACCGTAAGAAATATGTGTTTCCATTCATCCCACATTTCATTTGGGTCATCAGTTATAGAAATTGTTTGCATACTAATTCCCAGATCTTGTTTGAAATCGCCGACATTGTAATTTTTAAATTGCCTTGTTTTAATTATTTGGGCGCTTTTCGTTGTATTGAAATTTTTCTTCGAATAAAAATAAGACTATGATCGCTAATTCCTAAGTGAACCACACCGGTGTTAACAACAATTTCTGGTTTATTTGTGAAAGCTAGATCGATTTGTGTCTTAGAGCTCTCAGTTAACCGCGTAGGCTCTTTAATTAATTGGTCAAATTGTAAAGTTTTAGTAAGTTCTTCAAGTTTCTTTGTTTGTGAGTTAGTATTATTGGTTACAATCTGAGACCAGTCACAGTTGAAGTCTCCAATCAGTATTACTTCCTTATTTTCAGAGTCCATTTTCTTAACGATTTCCTCGTAGTTATTAAAAATTTCTACCGAGGAATCAGGTGGTCTATACCAACAACTTACCAACAAGGATTTTGATTTAGGTTTAGAGATTTCAACTGTAATTATTTCAAGATCGCAAGACATTAGCTCTTCTTTTACTTTATAATTAATAGAATTTCTTAAGTAAATAGCAACTCCCCCACCGTTTCGGTTTCTATCTTTCCTTATACAATTACTTTATGGTTTCCGTGTTTGGATGGCCTGATCCAAACACGCGGGAATGTTGCTCGAGTTAAGAAAAGCGAGCAAAATCACGAGCCGAAGGCGAGTGATTTTGCCCGCTTTTCTTAACTCGGGCAACATTCCCAAGTGTTTGGATCAGTCCATCCAAACACGGAAACCATAAAGTAATTGTTTTATAAAATAACAACAACACGGTAGTCTTCCGTGTTTGGATGGCCTGATCCAAACACGGCTTTCGACCAATCAGAATACGCGTTATATACATGTTATTTTATAATACGATTTCATAACCATTTATTCCAACTTCGTGATTAAGAACCGTAGCATCAAGTCGAGTTTCATTAATACATATAACATCAAATTGTTGTTTTTGGAGATAAAGTCGAAATTGATCTATATTTTTTTACTAGACTTCTAATATTCAAATGGCAATTGTGAATCCTTTTAGTTTTAGTGGTTTTCAAATTTGATTCACAATTGTCAGAATCTATATTTCCATTCCAGATCATATCCCTCCTTCAATTTTGCTCATTCAAAAAACTTATAATATTCTTAGCTAACATTGGTGTTCCTGCTCTATTGAGATGGATACCATATGGATTGATATGTTTTGCTTGGATATTTGCATGGGTTATATGACCCCATTTGTTCTTCTTACAATTAGTTAAAAGAACAGCATTTACCTCAGCCACTTTTCTTCTGTTTTCTGGTGTGTCCGTCCTTGTGATCAGCTCCGATATGACGACTTTGGTGTTGGGGCTTTGGTTCTGGATGATATTACCAAATTCAAGGACTCCTTTCGCAATTTCTTTCGCATTTTTCTGTGCCATATCGTTAGTGCCGACGTGTAGAATCACTGTATCAGGATTTTTAGCAAGACAGGGTCTGATGTGATGTTTCATGGCATCGCAGTTCGCACCACTGTAAGATTTCGTAGAAATTTTCAGAGCTTTCTTCGCTACTGATCTTCGTAGCTAGTCGTCCTTTGTCAAGGTGTTTGATCATTGAATCTCCCACAACAATTACAGTTTCATGGTTTGTTGTGGGGTCATCAGGTTTACGTTCACCTGACTTTTTCTTTCTCGGATGATTTTCCTTCATACTTTCCGTTTGGGCTGATCTTGTTGTTTCTTGGTCGCTTGTCGCTTCGTCGTTCAGTATGTAATATCTGTTGGGATTTTCTACCACAAAGCAGTCACGGTCATTACCCTCAGCACGAGCTCTCGATGCAGCGCCCTCTTTAACTCGTGTCCAGTCGTTTTCTTTAATAACTATTGAAGGTTGATCATTTGCACTTTCTTCTTCTGGGTTGTTGCTTTTCGAAGGACTTTGGCGATAATCATCATGTAGGAGGCTTATCGCAGTTATCAGGCTTGCTTTCTCGTCTTCTAATGTCTTAATTTTTGTATTCAAATCAGATACAATATAAGCAAAGTTATTCATGCGTTCAGTGTTTTCGACATTTTCCTTTTGGAGATTTTTATTTTCACGTCTGATATCTTCGTTTTCTTCGCGAAGTTTGTATAATTCAAAACGCTCGTTTTCTGATATTAGATTTGTACCTTGGGATGAAGCTAGAATGTTAGATATAGAAGCCTTATTTTCGTTAGTATCTAATTTAAGCTGTTCGATTTGAATCTTAATCTCATTAACCGCTTCGATGATCGCCTCGCTATACGAATGTTCAGCTTGGTCGTTCTTCGATTTTCCTTGTTCTGAATTTTTCTGTATTTCGTCGCGTATTTTCCCTGCAATCTCTTGTGATCTGTCTCCCTGTATCATTAACGTCTTTTTTCCTTGGTACCACTTGATTTTAATAATCTCATTCTCTGTAATGTCTAGTTCTTTTTCGTTTGTGAATGCTTTAGTCTCGTTGCCTGGGGAAGTCCATTTACCAGATAGTTTCAGCTCGTTCGCGACATACGATTTTAGTGCTTCTAGACTGCCGCTCCACATTAGCTTGGAGTTTTTAGATGTGAAGTAGTTAGACATGGTGATAGAACACGTCTCGACTACCGTATCAATATATTTAATGTAGTATGATTCAGGAGCTCCAAGAGATACGTCTGTAAGCAATACTTATGTTTCTTGCGTTATTCTGCCCAATTATTTTAAACCAAAACGTATTAAACAAGTCTTCCTCATCTAAGCTGTTAGTGCGTCGCTTAAATATCACCGCACGTATACATTAAATTTGCGCGCAAATCGAAGGTTTAAAAAGAGATTCAAAAGGGCAATGTGACTATCAATATCTAGGCACAAAAAAATTTGATGTACTAATTGTCCACTGCCGCACCGCTAAAACTTGGACTTTTTAAGAGCATTTGAACATATGAATTTAAAAAAATGTAATCATGCATGAAATGCCAACGCTTGAAACGCTGTTCCTGGTTAGGTGTAATAAAATGTATATAAATTTCCACTCGATAATTTCCATCAACAATACCTTTCAACTATTATCCAACCGAGTGACATGCCAACAAAATCTTGATACTTTTTATACACCCTGTATAGAGTAGCTACCCCCGAAAATATTCCAAAAGTCAACTATATATTTCTCTACTTGTGTATCGTATTTAATAAACTATAGGTAAAATTTAGGACATATATAAGAACTGTAAATATAGATTTATTTCAATACATATTCATTTGTGTATGTTATCTTTAGAATTGGAGGTAATAGAAAATATCTTTCACTATCTTATTTTTTAGATAATTTGCGCTCCCTTAAACTATATCAGAGCGTTATGTTCACGGATATGACGAGCAATGGGCCAGTCAAGATAAACCAAACTATGACGTTCGGGATTTCGTTAGAAAAACTCGGCACTGGAACGTGCTTGTGGGTTGACTTGGGTGACAATAGCTCACTGCTTGTGTTTGGTAACGATTCTTGCCCTGAGCAAATTGATGTTGATTCAATTAATCCAAATATCGTAACCCAACCAAGGTTGAAGTACACGTTTAAGACTTCAAACACTCGGAGTATTGTCATCAATCATGTTTATCCTCGAGCCGTTTCCTACAAAGTCAGAATGTACGCTTCCAATGCCGTCTCAACAGTATCCCATGAAATGATGGCCGTCGTGTTGTCGTTCATTTGCAAAAACCCTAATGTCACTATAGAAGGTACAAATGTTTCGCTTCAATATTCGTATTAATAACCAGTATCCGTATTAATAATCTGAATCGCTTCAATATTCGTATTAATAACCAGTATCCGTATTAATAATCAGAATCGCTTCAATATTCGTATCAATAACGGCCCCATACCACTGAGTTCATTCTGCTCCTGTTGGTCGAGGGCAGGGTACAGTATAAGATGGTCAGTACCCTGCACAAACTTGGTGTAAGTAACAAGTGTTGTGGTTCGTTCCCTTCTGTATTTCGAGGTTTTTCTTCCTAACCCTTTAACCTTAACAGTGAAACTGCAAGTACTCTTCATCTCACTGGGAATATTGATTTAAACAAACTGGAATAATTCTTCTCAAATGTGTCTGTGGTGAAATTATAATTCGACAATTGTGTATTACAGGAATGGAACCTTAGTTTGAGAAATAAAGGGGGAAATCCACTTAACACTTTACCAACAACAACCTAATTCCTTCATTAAGCAGTTTAATCTATTTTTACATTTATTAGGTTTGTCTTAAAATTCCTCCAACGTCTTAAACGCTTCTCAAGTCTACCGCTCTGCCAATGTGGCTCTGATTACTGAAAACGAAATTCTTTGTGAAACAACAGAGCAAACTAAATCAACCTGGACTGTCTATAAGCTAGAAGACGATCCTCGCATTATTCCGAGCAACGTTCCCCTTACAGACATAAGGAGGACCCATTTCCATACGGTAAACGATACCTCGGAACTCGTTCTTCCTGGGCGATTTTTACCCTACGGCTTCTACGAGATCCGTGCCCGTGTAGAAATGAAAGGTGTTCCTGATGTTTTTGGAAGTCATTCAATCTTTGTCCAGGTTGTACAGAGCCCGTGGCTTGAGGCCGGTGTGAATGCCGGATCTTTTCATACCGTCCCTTTTGGACTAGTGGTAAGAACAATTCCTTACCTATGAGTTGTATAGATAACTGGAAAATAATTGGCTCAAAACAGTTATGAAATGGAAAATTCACGAATTTAGATCCGTATTTTTGGAGAATTATTACTTGTGAATGTGAAGTAATAATTACTGATAATTACTACATCTGAAGGGTTTGAATCTTAATTTCACAAAAGTTACAGTGGCAGGAATGACGTTTCAAGTTGGCGGATATTTCGACTTTAACTGGAAAAGGACATCGGTGATTTTATTTCATGAAATGATTTTTCTCAGTATATACTCAATTATCTTGCCAATTTTAAAAAAATTTTGTTGAGCCAAAAAAATGTGTTACGAATATTCACAGAAATTTTTTAAAATTGTCAAAATAATTGAGTGTATATAGGAGAAATCATTATTGAAATGTCATTGTTGCCATATCAATGGAAGCGTAACTTTGTGGAAAATTTCAAACTCTTATGTAAATAAGTTGTTGCTTTACAAAAGTAAGATGCTTTGTTTTCAACAAGTAATACTTCGGATTAAGTAATACAAAAATTCGGATCTATGGTCGCGTTTACACTATGACGTGTACACATATATAGTGGAAAGACAATAGCTACTAAGAAACGTAGTGAATTTTTAACGAAATTGATTTGTATTCAGACAAATGCAGTGGCAAATGTAGTGGTCCGTAGTTAGTACGCTACGACAAACCACTCTGTTATGGTGTAAACACAATGTAGGCTAGTATCAAATCTAAAAACGTAGTAAATTTTTAACGAAATGTTATGGTGTAAACACGGCCTATATCGCAAATTTTCCACCTTTTAAAAGAAACTGTATCCAGCCACGTACAGTACCTTATGGCGGCTCTTTATAGTTCTAATTTTCTTTTCAAAACCAGCTATTTCTTAATATTTTAGAACATAGACAGCTTGTACAAGTTACAATTTTTTAGAAAAATCCACTGTATATGCAGAGTTTGATTTATTATCCCCCGTGCTGTGACCGTTTTTCTGATAGTTCTTGAGTTGTGTTTCCTTACTAAAAACTTATCCTTAACTGAGACTTAGGGCGCTTTCCATTTAATGGGCAGACTGGTTAGACCAGAATTTCGGTCCCTGCATGTATCATGCAATGGAAACATCTGCTTGGTCCATGTTTCAATATCTAACGAAAACGGATCTCCTTCTAATTTGATTCAAATATTCCTGTCCAAACCCCAAACATTTTTTGTTCCATTCAGCAATGTTAATGGACAGCGCCCTTAGTTGTCGACGTTATAAATAGTTTATTATTATGGTCAAATGGTATTTTTGCCGTCTACTGTTTTATATATCTAACGTTGGGACTAGCGCATGTGTATTTTCATCCAACTCCCTGACCAGGGGCGAAACTAGCCCCTTTTAATTAGGAGGGTGTCTGCTAGAATTGCCCTGCGAAAGCCGATGATGCCCTGCGGCAAAAAATTTTTTGGCCACTATTTCTCCCAAAAATCTTGACGAGCGGGGGGAGGAGGTCGAAAAAATTTTCCGAACATTCAAAAAAGGGCAAAAAAATTTTCCGGACATAAACCAATTAAATTAAGGGTCAAAAAATTTTTTCGGACAAATTCCTGTTAAAACATGCATGAAACCCTTATTTTTTTACCAGTATCTGTAAAATTTTGGTCTATAAATTCTATTCAATTCCCTCTGGATGCCCTGGAATCTACTTAATAACTCTACATTCTATCATTTAAAATCTTACATTGCCCTGCCAATCCAGATGATTTGCCCTGCCAATCCAGATGATTTGTACTTTTGGGGGGTGTCACCCCCCCCCCCCCACACACACACCCTCAAGTTTCGCCCATGTCTCTGACGAGTGCTCCGAAACATCCAAGTGTTTTAAAATCTTGCAGATAGATTATACATTTAGAATGGAACATTATGTTTTCTAATTCCAGGGAAGTCTAAATAGTTCAGCGTCTGTAGATCCAGATTCTGATGGCACGGATGGAATGAGCTTTGTCTGGTATTGTAAAGATGTTGGTGATGCTGATTTCAATCTGGCAAACCTGACTTATGAACCTGTTGTCTCTGAGCACGATGTTGTTGGAATGCCATCCGCTAATGCAGTAAGTGATATGTTAAGAGTTTGGATTTAGATCTATTAGTTCTAAATTTTTCACCCTAAAGGTTCATCCAGTAAGAAGCATTCCGTACTAGTCCAATTATTTATAACACTTTATTTATAATATTTCTCTACTAATAGGACTAGTAAAAGAAACCCAAGCCTAAATTAGCATTGATAATATAAAATTCTAGAAAATGGTGACCCTTAAATCGTTCTGTAAAGAAAATCTCCGTGTTCCAATTTGATCCTCTTTTTACAGTCTGGCTGTTTTGGGTCAGGTCGTGGTCGTATTGATACGTCAAATTCAACCTTCATGTTGGACACAAATAAAATGGTTGAAGATAAATCGTGAGTTTTTTCTATAACAATGTTTGCAGGCTGCATTAATTATCGGCTCGTTAGAATACGATGGCCGTTCTCTGAATTGACTAAGCTTTCCACCTCTCTAATTAGCCGCTCATTTTCTGAAGGAAATGAATAAAGCCCTAGCTCTTATTTTATCGTCACTCCTCACTTTCTATGAAAAGAAAACAAACATATCTATATTGACTATACAGGGTAATTGTCAATCGGCTTGAAGTTTCACATTAGTTTGCAGCGTTTTATATTTCCTGCAAGTGTGTCGGTAAAATCAATACATGATCATGCACGACCGGAATTTGCATAGAAAAATGGCCATGTACATTCTGAGCATTCTTTGCATGACAAAGTGGGGCTCAGTCAAAAAGCGCACGCTTTTTGTTCTGCTTTACTGCATCGACTATAAATAGCAAAATAAGGCTCAACTTATAAGTTTAATTAAAGCGTTCTTTATTATGATTGAGACACTTATTTTGTTTTCAGCTAGGCCTTTAGCCTTTCCTTTACTTCAAATTTCTACCAATAAATAAAAAACTTTGCAGACGATATCTTGATATTTTTAAGTGGTTCGCCTCATTAGTATTTAGTACACGCCAGCGTGTACAATCTACGCATGCTCAATTACGATGAGTTGATTCATCGTAGGTGTCAATATGTGGCCATAATTTTCGATCGGGAACTCCCCTATATATTAAGCTCTCCTTCCCGATTAAGTCACTACCCGAAACAAATAAGCACCCGAGGGGGACTTAAAAGAAGATTTACAATATACAATGATGCCATTCTTTCGTCTTTTCTAGATACGAGATTTTGTTGGTAGTGTCAACAACACATCCAGAATTTGGTCAACGTGAAGCAATGACTACAATCTACTTTCTCGTCGCATTAGGATTCCCCCCTGTTCTTGCCACAGAGTAAGTGGAGTTCAGAGCGATCATTGTTTAGTTTTAGACGGACATTTAAAGTCCCGTAAACACGCATGCATGCTATCCAATAATTCACAAACAATTGTGAATTATAAAAATATTTCAATAAATTTATAATATCATCCACTATGGCTTCCTCAAACATGATTAAGTTATCTTTCTGTATAATTATTTTTCCATCTTTACCTGTTCTATTAAAAACTAATATTTATATATATGGATCACTTGATCTGTCAATGTTAATAAAACGCTTCGGATTAGAAATTCATGTATTTTCGGGTGGGTTCCTAGCCATGCTCTGGAAACGTAACTCGCCTGACTCGCAAAGAATTGTGACTGAGTTTCTCCTAAACGGCCTAAACTCAGCGCAAATCTCCTGAATTTAATTTAGTTCGCCTTAACTCACGTTAACTCACCACCTTAACTAACCTTAAAATTTCCTTAATTCACCTTTTACAACCTAAAATCATCTTAAATTGTCAAAAACTCACCTTAAGTCACCTTAACTCACCTTAAATGGCCTTTGCTCACCTTAAGTTGCCAAAACGCACCTTAAATCGCATAAAGTTGCATTATCTTGTGAGTTGTGGTGAGTAAAAGCGTGTGCGTGTTGCACTCCCAGAGGAAGCAGGGCTGTTTATTTATATGTAAAACGATAACTCCACAGCTATTTCTCTAAACATAATCTTGCATAAAGCCATTTCATGGACATAATAATCTATTTTTAATTTTTACTTTAGTTGTTCAACGAATTGTAAATCAAAAATCCTTCCTGATGAGAAAACTATACTGTTATCAACCTGTAGTAGATTCTGTGCTGGTGAGCTGACATTCAGTTGGTCGTTGTATCTGTATGACGATATCAATCAGTTTGAACCGTTTAATTTGTCAACATTGAATGAAATATCCAAAGCAGAGTTTCAAAATATGGCTTCAAACCCTATCAATGAACTAAATCTTGCTATTAAACCCAACACACTGCAAGTTGGTAAGAAGTACACCTTTGCATTTCGAGCAACACGCCCAAGTGGTGCGTATGGTGAATGCAGAACTACTGTGATTGTAAATTCGCCTCCTGTTGGTGGTAAGAGAACTTTTTTCCGATTGTTTGCTCCATTTATGCTAGTTTTTTTCGGTTTGTTGTTTGTTTGCAAATTCGCTTGTTTGCGGTATAACCTCGCCTTTTCTTATTTGTTACTTCATTTATATATGTTGGTTGTTTGTCTGTTGGTTTGTCTATTTTTTTCTTCATTGTTTTTCCCGAACTTGTTTTCTTCCTGGTCTGTACCCTTACGGGCAATTATAATAAGTCTGACCTAGTTGGGTATAAACAGGAATCAGTTAGAATTTATTTGTTATCATAGGCAATTGCAGTGTATCGCCTATATTTGGTGTGGCTTTATCAACAAAATTTACATTCCGATGTGACAAGTGGACAGATCCTCAACTACCCCTGGTGTATGAGTTATCGTATGGTGGTAATCAAAGTCAGACAATGTTCTTCTATCGTACAATCCCCTCTGGTGTTAGTATCAGCGTCACTGATTGGCTGGTAGCTGGAGATGAAAGTAACAACTATACTCAAACTGTTCAATTTACTATTAAAGACGATCTTGGATCAAAAGCAGTTCAGTATATTGACGTGCAGGTATGTTAAGGGCTACGTATTTGTTAGATTGGTTGTTGTTCTCGTAAAGATAAATCCATGTGACTAGGGTTCGATTTCTATTGTTATCTCTTATCTGATTGAAATTTCTCTTCACTCGTGAGGAGAGTTTCTGTAGTTTGACTCCACCAAACACTGCAGGTTTCCTTCTGTTGTAGTACTGAACGTAAAAAGCTTGGTCCCATTTAGATTTAGATTAAAAGGTTGCGTTTATAATAGATGGGCAATATAATAGAGTGGCATTCTATCTCGACAATCATGACAGACTAATTAGCATCATCATACAGCAATGCTGTATACACCATACAAAACACAACTAAGACCTAGACTACCTAGCGGGCTTAACAGATAGCTCTAGACTGCACTTCCAGAAAAGAACAATTTAGAACCCTTAGATTTGTGCAGAAGAAAAGTTAGCTTAGATTAGGGCTATCACTATGTTGTCCGGATTTGAACTGAATTAAACTATTCCAATTTATACTGGATAGATCTGAACTTCGTAAAATAGCCCAAATATTGCTGCCTAGACTGCTCTATCTAGAAGTCCAATAAGGATAATTCCTTCACAGTATTTACCTGCGTGAAACGAGGGAAAATAAAGTAAGCTAGATTGAACTTTATTCATCCAGGTTCGACCCAACGAAGCAGAGCTGAATGTGAGTGAAATTTCAGGCAGATTCGATGAGTTGCTCGCAAATGGAGACACTACAGCAGTTTTAGGCCTGGCTTCCGCTCTGTCGTCAACGTTGAATGGCCATGGTGTTGGTAGTGGCGGAGCAAATGGCACTGGGTCGAGTGTAACAGATCCGGAGAAACAGGAAAGAGAACAGGAGGTAAATATGACGTAATTTGTTGTAGTCGTAAATTGAGTATCTAATGTGTTAAAAATGAAGCCGGAATTCAGCAGTTACTAAGGGACCAACTGATATAACCTTGCTAACTTACAGTATGGTGCAAATTTATTGCTCGAAATTATTTATATGTCAAAATTAGTGAATGTACAGTTATTTGCAGTTTTTAAAGTTGGAAGACGTTTTGAAAATAATTCATAATTATTGGATAAGGTTGAGTGTGATATCGCAAAATATCAAGGCTGAGGTTATGTTATCTTCCGAAGCCGTAGGCTGAAGCAGAGATAACACAAACCGAGGGCTTCATAATTCTCGATATCAGGAAAAAATCAAATTCAGTAACTATTTTATTACGCGTATGAAAGAAAAAAACAAAATTGTTTTAGCAAAATAGTTTTACGGCTTCGGCAATAGCCTCTTTCTCTTGCATGCAGTTCATTTGTCTTTTTCTCTTTAAGATTCTCATTGAAAACTATTAACGCTGTCTTGATAGCTCGTTTAGAGTCTGCGGCGCACATTCAAAAATAATTTGGGGTGTCCTATGTTCTGGGATCGACCTCTGTAGTATTTGTGTTTGATAAGAAACGCCAAGTATTTTAAGACGTGCACGGTACGAGTGAAGCGGTGAAAGCAAAGCGTTCGGTTTAATGACACAGTCTTGTTGTTACAAATACAATTAATATAAAATTTAATAGTTCAACGCATGGTAATAGCACGAAGCCGAGTAACTATGTAAAAAATATGGTATACAAGGTGTCTCATAAAAGTAGACCGTTAGAAATTAACCTATTGCAGGAGCTGACTGGCTACCTCAAGGGGCGCGGGCGATTTGGCTAGATGGGGGCCCTAATTGTTCTTGCCCAATGTTGCTTCTTAATATGTTCTTTATAATTTAAGCGTCGAGAAACTTCTTTCGCATTCGACTTGCGTTACACTAGTGTCTTACCAGCTTTTAAAATTTGTTGTGGTCGGTGATCAACGTTGACACTTTTTTTGTGCAGAAACACTAAATGTCCCAAAACATATGAAAATTTTCACGATACGATAGTTCGGCACTAATAATATACATGAAAAAAGTTCTCAATTCTGATTGGCTAAGAGCAGTGCAATATTTTCGAAATACAGTGCAAAAAATGAAATACCGTGCAAAAAAAGAAATGCAGTGCAAATTTCTTGACTATTTAGGCTTTGTGATTGGCTTAAAATATGAAACGATAACAAAGATTGCTAATAAGATACAGCAATTTCCAGCAGAAATAATACAAAAAAACAAAAACAAAAACATAAATTATTTCCATGTGACTTACGCACGAAGTAAAAGTATGGTTTCTCGTGCAATTTGAAAAAACATACACTCGTGAGTTTTTCCACGGTTAATAGACCAATAACCGTGGTTTTTCAAAGACTTCTAATTGCACTCGTCCTTCGGACTCGTGCAACTTTGATAGTCTTTGAAAAACTCACTCGTGCATGTTTTTTCCAAATTGCACTCGAAACCATATACTATTACTTATATTATAGAATAAAGTATTTTCCATATATACCTTACAATATAAGCAGTCATTTAAATCCATTTTTTCTTACTAGCTGCTTGAGCATGTCCTCACTTCGCTGTCTGGAGTTAACGCAAAAGATGTCTCCGGAGTTATGCAGTTCAGTGGTTCACTTATTCAATTAACTGCCAACGCAGACAAGCTGACATCAAAAGCCAAGGTTAGCGTCCGTTTATCAAGAGTCAAATGACACAGAGGATGAGAGATATACGGAATAGGTGATATACAGGGTGTTCCAAAAAAAAACGAAAACCATAATTGAAATAACGTATTGTTAGAATTTGAATGCCCTAGCACTAAGCTGAACGCAAAGATGCTTAAAAAATTGACAAGGATGCATATATTAAATATTGATTTATAATTAGAAATTAAAATATCTTTTAAAGCGCACGATTTTCTGCTCTTGGGAATTTAAAACAGCTTCTTAAACGGTTTCTTTATGCATAAAATTTACTTACGTCAAACTTTGATGCATGTGTGGGTTCAGCAGAGTGCTGAGGCATTCAAATTCTAACAATACGTTATTTCAATAGTTTTCGTTTTTTTTGGGACACCCTGTAGGCGAAATTGGAGTTTCGACTGCCCGTCCAAATGACGCGTTCTCCGCTGGGAATGTACAAATTTCCCTTGAATTATAACATGTAGATGAGGCTGGAAGAATTAGAATATGCATGTCAAAGTATTGAACTGTTCAATCTTCATTTCAATATGCAAAAAGTTGTTCCTCCTCCAATTAGTTTATTATTTTTAAATTAGAAAATATATTCCCTTAGGTGCACCTTGCTTTATTTTGCTTTACACAGTAGGCAAAAAAGCTAATGGTTATAAATGAAACACAAATAATGATTGAACAGTTCAAAACTTTGATATGTATATTCTCATTCTTCCAGTCTCAGCTACATGCTATGATTCATCTACAATTTGTTTCAGGCGCAGTATTCGTCAGTTTGGATGGACAGTCAAAACTCCGATTTCGGCTATATGCATGTGTAAATATATGCAAATCAGACGTGATTAAATTTACAGGCACTTCACTTATACCTCTCTCTTTACCCTTGTACAAGACAACTCTCACATTTTGGAGCATGTTGGTCCTTGCATGATATGTCGATATGAGCCTTAACCCATTGAGTTCCAGCACTTGATGGGTAAAATTGTCTGGCGTTAGACAATTAAAATAGCAAGGCAGGGCGCAATAGGGCGCGATTCCACTTATAATGGGCTAATAAATGAGTTATTTTGGTGAATTTCAATTTAGAAATATTTTACAACTATAATACTGAGGTAAATATGCACTGGATAAACTGCTTTTCCTACAGTCATTCCTTGCAATGTTACCGCAGGCAGAAACCGAGCACTCGGGGAAATCCTTAAGTGTTTGGTATATAAAGTACACTTTAAATTTATGGTACAGCTGCATATTGCAGGAATCAAACCTCTGATGATAAGGCGAAAGAAACCTGCACGAATACCCTCGTGCTGTACTGTTCAGAGAAGCATTTTATCAATCTATTTAATAATACGATTATTATGTAATATTTTGTGATTTAGAATGCAGCCATGTCGATCACAGAGACTCTAGCAGATAGTTTGAAATATATATCTGACAATGACGGGGGATTTCAAAATGTAAAATCTGGAGCTGGCAACGTGCTAACAGTTCTTGGTGGAATGACTACTGCTAGCAGCGGTGGCGGCAATGATTCAACATCGTCACCCACGAATAAAAGCGAAACGGCGGTATGTAGTACCAGTTATTTTCTTGTAATTTTTTACTTAGTCTACCAAGCTATAGCACGCCGTAATGCGCACTTCATTGCCATTTTTCCTGTCTCGCGTCAGATAATTTTACGGCTGCATGGTCCTGGAGAAATTTCTGTGTGTTAATGGGTTACTCAAACAAAGATAGTATAAATGGTCCTTCTTAACCTGTCACCTGACAATTTTACTGATCAAGTGCCGTTAAGCGCTGGGAATGTTAATGTTTTAATCAGTCTGTCTGGTAATTTGTAGCAGCCCATTCAGCTACCGTCCGATATTCTGTCAAATGGGTAACTAGCTTATCTTCCAACGTCTCCTATTAACCATTAACTTAATTGCCATGCAATGTGCCTTAATGCACTTTGTGTTGTTATTTTATGAAGTTTGCAAGGAGGGTATCTAGCATTTGTTGGTTAACATAATTATAGCTAATTCAATTAAGAAATTGCCGAAAGCACTGGGTATAGCTTTTTAAATTTAATTTGGTACATTGATTCGCGAGTAATATTTTTTTATGAATTAATGTAATGATTGTGTTGTTATGTACTCAGGTGAAGTTATTTTTTGTTATATTTAAGATGACGCTCTCTGAGTGTGTCCACACCCGGCTAGCTGCAAATTTTGCTTGACCGCAGTGGGAATACACTCAGACAGATCTTAAATATTAAATAAAAATATTATTTTAAGTGGCTGTGATGGAGAATGAAAATTTAAGATGCAATATATAACAAATCCTATTTAATGAATGGTTTGTCAACAAAACAAATGAGGCATATGGGAAATGGCTTGTCAAAACCAAATAATCACACCTTTCTGTGAACTATTTTTAATTCATTGGCTAACTTTAAATGCGTTATAATTCTCGTTTAACTGTATTTTAAGCTTGCACCAACGCTAATTTCTGTTCACATTAATACGTCACGATTTGATGACTCTTGTTTGGACGATGTATGGACGTATGTGTGAAATAAATAAAACATATATTTGATTTTAACGACTTCTTGCTACCTTTACTGATGTGGAAACTAGAAGATCAAAGTTTGCACCAGAAAATTCAAACATTTCAAATCGACCATGCAATAACAAGTAAATTTGCATAATGAAACAGCATCTAAAAATGATGGGTTTTACTCAGAGTTTTACTAAATTCTCTCCTGTGCAGTTATCACTTGCACTGAAGAAACGAATGACACCTTGTTCGAATTAAAGAGGGAAGAATAATGATTCAAATAATATTTTAACAATTTTTGGGGACAAACAATCATGGAATCGGTTGTTTTTACACACCCTGTACATTTCCGTGTCTCTTGTCAATCCACTATTATGCGATCAGGTATGATTGTATAACCTTCACCTTTGGTGATCCAGGATATCACTAATGCATCCAAATATTTTTTAAGGATGTACCAGACACCTTGCTATCAACTAATTTAAATTGTGCACTATATTTTTATTCAGTCAACTGTCTACCGTACGATCAACGTCGTTCAAAACCTGCAGTTAGTGGTCCTGGACAACTTGGTGGCAAATGAGGGACCAACTGATATTGAAACTGAAACTCTTTCACTGCAAGTGGAAAAGAAGTCTGCCAAGACGCTTGGAGATACTGGAAATAAACTAAAGAACTGTGACTTTAAATCGCCCTCTGGTGATGCATTTGGTGTAGGAGAAAGTATGTCGATGTAAAATAATACACTAATATAGTACTGTATGATCTTGCATTCAACTGTTCTCCACATACTGCGGTGTTAAATACTCTACTGCACTTGATCATGACTGCACTGTTTGACTGCACTTGACTTGAATGTACTTTGCTGCACTGTTCTTCTTATTTGTCTTCACAGAACAGAAACTTTCCTGTATTATATATTGCATGTGTTTCACTATACTGCGCACTTTAAAGTATAATAATATACTATTTTGTGGACTGCACATTATCATATACAGGGTTGTACTGTACTCTGTACTCTTTACTCTGTACTTTATGCAGTTAGTTATAATTATATATATATATATATATATATATATATATATATATATATATATATATATATATATATATATATATATATATATATATATATATATATATATATATATATATATATATATATAAATATGTGTTGTCCCTGTTCTGTCTGAGTATTAGTACACTTATCTATAATACTGAGAACTGTGCTGTTGGGATGTGCTGTGCTGTGTTGTGTTCACTCCACTCCACTCCACTGCGGTTTAGTGAATTACACATTCCACCTTGTATTGCACTTGAGTGCATTGTGCTGTGATATAAATTCGCGTTTATCTGTATATTATCTAGTTCTCTCAAATCCAAACAAAACGTTCCTTCAGCTTCAACCAGTAGATATCAAGGTAAGATTGACGGGATGAACGGGGTAAAAGTGGGATGGGCATGAGCGATGTTGACTCTACGTCACACCACTTTACTACACTTCATTCCACACTCTTCCTCAACTACCTAACACCATCTCATACCAATGTACGTCACTTAACCTCATTTAATCACAAGCCACCTCACCCCACCTCACACCATGGCCTTCTTCCCGCTACGTTCCATCTTACTCAACTTCACCACTCCTAGTCACTCCTCTTCACCCGTCCTCGTTCGTTCTGACTTCAAAATTCCGGATATACCCTTGTATAATAATGTTGGCGTTGAGTGAGAAAATATATGGAAATGGCGCAAATGAAGGCGAATGCATAAAATTTGGGATTTAAAAGCCTTCATTGTTATGGTTCCTCTGTGAAAACGTTGAGATTGCAGCAAAAAATGAGAAGAAAAATGTGTAGCATATGATAGTTAATAGTTCAGCACATGGTGTTAACAGGCAATTATGAGAGTGACAAAAATGTTCTCTTCATTCTTTTCATTATATGTAGTTGTCTTGAGTTGGAAGGAAATGTAGGAAGGAAGTGTTCTTTAATGTGCTTGCTCATTTTAATACAAACATTTCTGAAGTAACGGTTGACAAACGCGGTTGAGGTGCCACCCTTTACCGCTGAGTCAAGCCTGTGCTTTAAACGGATTCGCCTGATTTTTTCCTTCACCAAGATTCACCTTGAAGCCATAGTTGTCGAATCCGTGTATTTTGGGGCTCTGGCCGGCCGGGGGAATTGGGCTACCATATACTCTGTGAAATTGACATTGACTAACTTATTAAGATCATTTCATCAACATACGTGTATTGAAACACATCAATATTTGGTCTGCACATTGGCAAAGATCCTTACCTTCACACACAAACCTTTCTCTTCCTAGATTGCTTTGTTTAAAGACAATCCATTCACCTGGGACAACACCAGTTCAACAATTTCATCAAACGTTATTGACATAGTTGTTGAATCCAACCTCAATATATCCTCCTCCAATATGAGTGAAGATGTCGCCGTTACGATCTTTAGAGACCCAGCACAATTCGGGGAAGATGCCTCATTTTTTTTGAAACCTGATGAAATGAATTCCACAAGCAACGCGAAGGAATATTTCAAATTTCATTGCTTCACTCGGAGAAGCAATTTCACTGCCATGAATTTTGAAATAAAACCGCACAACCTTGGAATACATTTTAATGTAAGTAAGTATTTCACTGTTAGATGTAAGAATTTTAATGTTCGTTGTCAGTGCTGTAGCAAGCTCGATAATTGGGGGACTCATAGTCATATATTCGTGTTCTGCGTTATTAATTTCTTTTCAAATCGATTGTTTTTATCGTCTGTGAACACGAATATATGAATATGAGCCCCCCCCCCCCTAATCATCGAGCTTGCTACGGCACTGGTTGTACCAGTTAATGATTTTAATCACTTTAAAAAGTGTTAGAGTTGGGCGGTATACCAGTAATCTCAGTTATTCAAAATATTTATTCGATACCGGTATAGAAGTCATTTCTTAATCTTTCTCAAGCGGGAGTTCAGACACAGACTGCCCCCACTCTATAGGCAATTCCAGCTTTTAGTTTATGCGTGCAGGGGACGATGGGAAGTAAGGTATCACATTGCTGATAATGCTGAAAAAATAAAAATGGTGGCCGTGTAAACACGGACTGATAGCTTATACTTGTAAATATTGAAATATTTCGGTTGTTTCGGTAGTTTTTATTGAAATGTTTCAGCATAATAGGCAATATGATACCTTACTTCCCATCGTCCCTTGCAGCCATACGGCTAAAAGCTGGAATTGCCTATTGTATAATACCGCATACACAGGAACCCCAGCATTAAAAGACCATCTCTTCTTAGGTATATTTAAAGAGGGGAGGCAAGCCTGACGTGAAGACAGGAGACTATGAATTCTCATACCAGTTACCAGACTTTGGCGGTTGCAACCTAGGAAATGTCAGTGTTAACGATCATGCAGAGCCAGTTCATATTGACGTGAATGAATGTTCAACACATCCATACACCGTGTTTGTGTCGAATCTGGACTTCAACGGCACTGGAGAGTATTGTTTTGGTAATATTTTTGTAATAATGAACATACTTGATATTTATTCACCGATTCATATCTTATTATATCTAAAGGCCCGTTTAAACTTGCAATTTTAAGTGCGATTTTCTTTTTGGATGTGAATAATTAAGGGGATGAGTTAGGAATGTTCAAATGACGACTGACGATGATAAATATACTCAGAACATTCACATTTCGTCTACTCCTAGAACTACGTCCACATACATCGGAAGAAGAAAATCGCACCAGAAATCGCAGAAAAAATTGCAAGTGTAAACAGGCCTTTACACTTGCAATTTTCGCTGCGATATTAGGTGCGATTTTCTTCTTCTGATGGGTATAAACAAGTGTATGAGTTATGAATGAGTCATTAAACCAAAGCAAACTAAACTAAACTAAGCTTAACTTCTTAGCTGGGCTGGACTAGATTGGACACATGCTTTGTATTATTGCTATTATTTTTAACATACCTTTTACCTTTAGCCATACAACATGTTGAACAGTTCCATAATGAAACATATCCGAACCCTGACTCATCATTCAACTCCAGAAATCGACGTTCAGTTCCTTGCGAAGTCGGCGCCAGACGTGTTCGTCGGTCGTGTGTCCTCATCCGCCCCGCACCACCAAAGCCCGCCGATGTCCCAAGTGGTAAGCTTCAGATACTCGCATCAGACAACCTTGGCTTTGATGGAGAGTACTTCTTCCCAAACCAAACTCCAAATTATAATTTGACTATGTTTGAGTCAAGTTGTATATTTTGGGATGAGTTGAACGAAACTTGGAAGGGAGATGGTTGTAGGGTAAGTTGTTTAATGATCGACATATCAAACCAAACTGATTTATTGTTTAAATCAAACTGATTTATTGTTTAAGCATGGATAATAAAATAAATGGATAGGAAACTAGCTGACGTGACCTAATGTTTTCAATGGGCTGATGGCGTGATTGGATGTTGAAACCTAGTTGCAAACCAAATTCTCAAAAACGGCATGTTTAGCAATAATACAGCTAAATATTTTAGTCAAAGAGCAAATGAATATAACTACGCCATTCTATGATGAAATCTCTAAATATTCCCAGTCAATTTTAGCAAATATTTCAAGCACTAAACAGTGAAAAAGGCATCCCAAATTTCGTTAAAATTGGGGACGCCAATTTCGTAGCTACAAATGTAAAAAAATACAAAACAAAGACAAAAAACATTTACCTTGAATACTTTGTCGTGGCTTAGGCACGTTTTTAAAACAATTAGACCAGTATATGCTTCAATATGACTCTTTTAAAGCGGAATGTATAGCCGAACAACAAAAATGCCGAGAAATTTGCAATACGCGTGACGTCACAGATTGCAACTAGGTTGTTTTTGCTTACGTCAGCTAGAGTCCTATCTATTTATTTTATTATCCATTTTATTATTCAAGGTAACATAACGTGAAAGTTTTTATTTCCCCATTTATACTACATCAGTGTAAATGGCGCTCGGAGACTGTATACCTCTGCCTGCAAATTAAGTTACATATTATGCATAAATTATACAATGGACTAATTACGCATTCAGTTTACTCTGCCCGGCAAAGCAAGACAAACGTTTGCTAATTTTTTACCAAACTTTTTATCTAAACAAACAAATAAACATACAAACGTGGAATGTCGCGGATGAAAATATAGCCTCCTGGAGCAGGTAAGAATCTTCAGTGAAAAGTAGCCGTCTTGTATAGTATATTGTTTACAAGTTTCCTTATTTGAGATAAGTCTGTTTCATTGATAAGAATTGCAAACAAATTTACATCAGACATTGTATAAACATGGTTAATTTAATAAAACTATTACTAATAAACTGCTAAACGTCGTAGGAAATCCATTTTGTGAAGGCAGTATTAGTAGTAGTAGAACTCCCGAAGGCGGGAGTTTGTATATCAGATAAGGATCGGATGCGAATGTATTAACGTGTTTAAAAACGACCCATCTTATGAGTTAATTGGCGAAATAATTTTAAAAATAAACATTGTCTAAGTCGAGAAAATCAAAGCTGAAGTTTATGTAAATCAGGACAAAACTTTATCCGATTTACAAACATTAATTAAACATTCATTTCTTTTGTATTTTCCTCATGAATTGTTAATTAGTTTTTTAAGTTGTATAAACCAATTCGTCTTTCTCACGATGGCCAAAATCCGCCATTTTGGGGGTACGTGGTGCGGAGACTCTCGAACGTGGGAGAGGCAGCACCCCCAAAATGGTGGGAAATCGGTCTTGAGAAAGGCTAATTGCTGAACCATTCTTTAAATGGTATAGGTGACATGACAGATCATATAAACCATTTACTGAACCTTCGATTGAATTGAAGTGGTTTTTGATATTTTCGTTTGCAACGACACAAACAACTGCTGCTGATTCTTGACTATTATTCTTGGAAGTCTACCAGTGAGAACGATTCTTTTTGGGACATGACGTAAAATAGGCCAAGCGAACAAACCTTATTTATTGAAACAGTTCTTCCAAGAGGTCCAGTAAAGACCGCACCTTTGGATCCAGATATAGTGCAAAAGAACTGACCGTCAGTTTTAAACTGCCCTCCTCTAGAGCAACTCGTTCATGGTTAGCACAAGACTGGAGAAACTTGAAGTATTTGATAGAGCTAAATTGGAAACGTCCTTTTCACATGCGACTGAGGCGAAATTATAAAGGGACAACTACATATACTTACTGGCGAAATTTTGGTGTCCATGTCAACATGGTAGCAATCAATCAATCAATCAATCAATCAATCAATCAATCAAAAATCAATCAATCAATCAATCAATCAAAAAGCATGCATGTGAACCAATCATATCAATCGTAATTTTCAGGTTGATGCTGCTACTAACAGAGAACAAATTGTGTGCTACTGTAACCATTTGACGTCGTTTGGAAGTGATCTTCTCGTTGCACCAAACCCAATTGATTTTGATTCAGTTTTCAGCAATTTTGGTAGTCTTGCTGAGAACGTTGCTGTCCTGGTTTTGATATCAACTATTCTTGGTGGTTATATTATTGGGGTTATCTGGGCAAGGCGAGCTGATAAGAGAGATGCTTTATTGGTAGGTATTTGCACTGTTAATGCAAGTTTCCATTTCATACCATACCATACCATACCATACCATGCCATGCCATGCCATACCATGCCATGCCATACCATACCATACCATACCATGCCATGCCATACCATACCATACCACCTCATAATTTGCCATAACATACCATACCATATCATACCACACAATACAATAGAAAATCATACCTTACTATGGCACTTGATGCCCACTATTTTATTCTAATCAACGTGATACATTTCATGCCATACGACACCATCCCTAGCACTTTTTTAATCTTGCTTTCCCGCGTTCGTATATATTATTAGGTTGGACCAACAATTGTTCAAAAACCCAAAGGAACCTACTATTACATAATTACCACAGCAACTGGTAACCGACAGGGTGCAGGCACAACAGCAAGAGTTGTATTTACAATGTCAGGAGATGAGAGTGAAACTTTACCAGTCTGGTTGCATGATCGCCAGAGACCGTGCTTTGAACGCACACAAAAAAATACTTTTGTTATCTCCTATCCTCGTGGTATTGGCGACTTGAACTATGTTCAAATTTGGCATGATAATTCAGGTATAAGATTTTAGCATTTTGTCCACGACTCCACCACGGGCTTTAGGACCGATTCAATTTGACAACAATAGTATTCTATCTAAATAGCAGTTAGTTAAAATAAAGTGTACGGCACCTGAACTGTTCGATTTGTTCAATATCTTGCTTGACAGTGCTTCCAAATCCATAAAACATTTACTTATTATGCAAATACTGTATATTTTCAAAATCGGCCATATTTATTTACATTAGAACCCAAGCTTTCGTGGTTCACACGAAATATTATGTCGGTGATTTTCACTAAAAATAAGAGGGTAGGATCATCTAATTATTTCATCGTTCGAAGCGAGAGGAGATTATGCTTCCATGTATGGCACAAACGTGTGACTGTCCCCCAACTTCCTCATATGGCACAGACGTGTTCCGAAAATATTTTATCGAGGCCATTATGATTTCATAAAATTCCTCACGCTCGGAACGATTTGAACAGGTCACGTGGTACAGAACCCAGACAGCTGTTTGGGTTAGCGAGTGACAACGCCTACTTTGATTCTACCCTCTTATTATTAGTGAAAATTACCGACGTAATATTTCATGTGAACCCGAAAGCTTGGGTTCTAATGTAAATAAATATGGCGGATTTTGAAAATAGAATCGAGGTTCGATTCCCACCGCGGCCTGGCATATTTTGCAAGCTTGCCCGGTGTGGATATAGACTCAGAGTAACATCACAAACAGCATATTCACCTGAGTACATAACAGCAACACAGACAAAAATCATGTAAATGTTTTATGGATTTAGAAATTAGAAGCACTGTCAAGTAAGATATTAAACAGTTCAGGTGCCGCACACTTTATTTTAACTGCTATTTAGATAGAATACTATTGTTGTCAAATTGAATTGGTCCTAAAGCCCGTGACTCCACAGTATAATTTATTCGAAGCAAAATATAATGCGCTAGAATGGGTACTGATTTAAAACATTGAAAAGTGTGTTGACATTTAGTTAGCTGTTCTGAAGCTAATACGCTGGAAGTTTTTATAGCAACATGCGTAATATCGATCGCGAGAACATTTCATTAAAGTGCATTAAATCTTAAATTTGATGCCAATCAATAAATTTGTCTTATTCCATTAGGATCTTCGCCATCTTGGTACCTCAGCAGATTTTACGTGAAAGATGTTCAGACTGGTAAAAGCTGGATTTTAAATTGTGAAAACTGGTTAGCAGTTGAATCTGACGATGGCAAAGTGTGCAGAGTTCTCCCAGTTTCCAATGAGCAAGAATTAACAAGCTTCAACCATGTCTTTTCGAAACAAGCCGTAAAAGGTCTGGCGGATGGCCATATATGGTTTTCCATTATCTCCAGACCTCCAACCAGTAACTTCACACGTGTCCAACGTCTCTCGTGCGCTTTGTGTTTGCTATGTTGCACCATGATCACAAGCGCAATGTTTTATAACATGGGGGGCCAGGGGCCAAGTCCTTTTGCAGTTCACATTGGATCCTTGGTTATCGATTTGAAACCGTTTGTGATAGGCTTACAAAGCAGTATTATCATTGTCCCAGTAAATGTTCTGATTGTGCAAATATTCCGTAATTTGAGGCCAAAAAAGGAAAAACCGAAGAAAAAGCAGCAATCCGAAAAGGAAACAGAAGGAAAGGAAAATGCGCCAGATAATGTCCCCGATATTCAAATCGAAAATGAAAATCCACCTCAAGGAAAACTTCCATACTGCTTTATTTTCTTTGCATACGCTGTTTGTTACCTCGCATCAGCTGCATCGATATTCTTCACCTTACTCTACAGTATCCAATGGGGCAAGGAAACTTCGACAGAATGGGTAATTGCTATGGTAACATCATTCTTCCAATCAGTGTTGCTTCTACAGCCAATCAAAGTAGTATTGGCTGCAGTTATGGTTGCATTGTGTATTAAGAAAGCCAGTGATACAGAAGATAACGGTAATGATGACTTGGTAATCAAACGGTCAAAAACGGAACATCAATCACGTATTGGTAGTGCGATGGAACTTGAGAAAAGGATACAAGCAATTGGGCAACCTCCTGGAAAAATAAGTAAATTTTATAGGTCAGTTTATTTCTTGTTTTAATACGGCATTGTGACGATTTACCACACTGTGATAATGGTGATGATTGCGATGGTGATAATGGTAGCGGTGTTGACTGTGGTGAAAAATCATTGATGAATGATAATAGTGGTAGTAATGTGGTAAAGATGGTGGTACTTGTGATTCTGTTGATGACCACATTGGTGGTGGTGTTAATGATGATTGTATATTAATGGTGGTAGTGATGATTGGATTAATGATGGTGGTTATATTGACGATAAATGATGATGTTGATTTTAATACTTATGGTAGTGTTTATGATGATCTGGTGACTAAAAGTCTGACTAAAAAATCACTAGAGCTTAAAGGTCCTACAACTTACATGAATAGAATGAAAACTTTTATGTTTTTAACCCGCTTTGTTTCTTAAAATTTCTTTAATATATCGCCATGTTTACTTGTTTTGTAGAAAACATCACGTTTATATATTTAGCAAAGCTTTTGTGTGTAAGCACTGTAAGCCCAGATCTTCATCAATGCGTTTTCATTTGTTAGCCTTTGCATCAGCGTCAATTTTATTAGTTTTTACATTGAACGACTTTGATATTTAATATTGGTTTTACAAGCTTAAGTTGTTCAAAAAGGCAATGGCTTGTTTATTTGAATCAACCAAATATCACTACATTAAAATGATGACAGTTTATCCTGCCTAAATAATTTGAAACTTCTGTCAAAGCTGATTTTTTTAATACCGCAACATGTATTGGAAGAAAATTTTAAAACACCATTTTGAACTTACAAATGTGCCCAAGTGGTCCAGTATACGTATGTTATGAAATATAGGTTCCATGGATATCTTATATCCCGAATGGTAATGTTAACGTTCCCTGAGCAATATGTTAATAAATTCCATTCAATTCTTATTTTAGTCCTCCAAGCCCTGCAAAACTGAAGAAAGCGAGAGAAAAACGTCTAAAAGAAATCAAAACGAACTCAGCTTTAAAAGAAATTTTTGCATTTTTCGTTTTCCTGATTTTTCTCATGGATGTAGCGCAATACCACAGGGATCCCAATACTTTCTTGTTGACGAAAACTTTGTATGAAACGTTTGAGGAATTGGATGCGTTTGGCCTGGATTTATCTGCGGTATGTGAAACTTCATGGTCTAGCTTGATAATTCTTTATATATTTGTTTTATTGTTTAATATTTAAGAGAAAAAACAGCGACCGGTTGTGCGATACGCTTATTAAATGTAACTTATTCGCACTAAAGCTTAGCCAATAATCTTTCCCTGCTCTTTTTGGAATCTTTCTCTTGCAATTTTTGAATTCAGTTAATAAGCTTCCCTAACGTCAGCGAACCTTTCCTTTGGAGGTCATTTGTCATTTAAGGCAATAGTAATTCATCCCTTCAGCTTCGCCGTGCATTTCCAAGTTAGCGTAGCGTGCGATGTTTTTTCTCGTCCCACACAATGGCGTCAAATCGTGCAATATGATATTTCAACTCCATATTTCATCAGCCATTGAGTAGATATGACAATTTTGCCGTAGACTTTTAGTCAGTCTTGACATGCATAATATTAGTTATTTCCAAATTCTTAGATCTCCGACGTGGATTCACTGTGGATGTGGTCACGTGAGACACTCATTCCGGGATTATATTCAACCGAGTGGTACAATGGCAAGAAAATTCAAGAAGGATGGCTTGCAAACAATGAGGACTATCTCGTGGGTGTCCCGCGTGTACGATTGCTTCGCGTGGAAGAAGGTACACTAAATACTTCATTTAGGCTGTTATGGCATTCTTATGCCGTTACTTTTTAATGCCACTTGTGGAACAAAACAGTGAACTTAAATATAATAAATATATTTGCAATACTTGAAACACGGAGGAATTTTCAAATAACGGACACCTTGGTGCCTACTAGGGCATGCCATATAAATCGTGACCTGCGATTTCTCTCCGTTGTACAAGATATCTGTTGTGCAGTTTCTGTCACTACGTGGAATTTTATTACACATGGCAAGGAGTGCAATTAATTAACGACTAACACTACAACTGAATTTTGAACAATGTGCCAGAATTGCACGGGTCCCTGAGCTAGGCGTGTTCAATTCGGCACATTTTTCTAAATTCACGAGTTGTGTTAATTATTAATTGCACGGCTTGCTCGTGGGATTATTATTATATAAATGACAAAATTATTGCTATCCCCCCGGGGTATGGATGTCCCATGAATGCAGAGAACGCATGTATATTTTAACACATTTGACAGTTGAAACACGGTTGAGATAAACAAGATCTGGTTTATTTAAAACATCTAAGCGATGTAAAACGCCTCGCTTGTTCTTGATTCGGCAACAAACAATTGTTTAAGTTCAAAATATTGTAAGTTCAGCAAGCAAGAAAGTTTAATTTAGGTCCTGTATTTTAATTTTCTGATTTTGCTTTACGCAAGTGGACGTTAGGATCGTTTCCATTTACGAGCCGCCATTTTATTTTTTCAAATCATTAATTGTACTCCTGGTGAGTGCAGCTAATGAAATAATTGCACTCCTCCTAACCAATTGTACGGATCAATGACAACTCATGTATATAATAAGTGGGAATAACGTTTCATAATAACTACCGTAAGCTGTGCGAATGGCTAAATTATATATTTTGGGTGAGTTACTTGGCACGCTGTTTTCGAAACGAGGAGTTTCAATTTAATTAAAAGACGAATTTTCTCTTATTAACTTTCAGATACATGTTCGATATCCAGTTATTTCGACGACACCATTCCACACTGTTATGGCGCCTACTCCGTCACTGATGAAGACGACGTTACCTATGGCGTGAGTTGGGAACCTTTGGACAACGGCAACGCCCGAAAACGACGAGATATCCGGGGCCCGGTGACCGAGAAAGAGTGGACAGAACTACTAGCTGCCGACAATCGCAGTACGCAAGTCAGACATAAACGAGGCTTGGATCCAATCATGGGTGGACTAAGTGGAAAAAAGCGAAGAAAGAAGAAGAGATTGTTGTCCAGTAGTAAACCAAAACAGTACATCGTCAACGATAACGCACTGCTGTCCGATGGTTCAGTTCTGTCCTGTCTTGACAGATGGCGCCACCAAAGCATGATTGATCTTCGGGGATTCCCCTACTGGGGCACGCTTACAATGTATAGTGGTAGTGGCTATGTTGCAAATCTTGGCTATGGTCCAGTTAGTGCTTACACTGTTGTTGCTGACTTGCATTCAAATGGTTGGCTCGATGTCCAAACACGGGCTGTGTTTGTCGAGTTCACTGTGTACAACGCAAATACGAACGTATTTGGGATCCTTTCGTATTTTATAGAATTTGGACCTTCCTCGACAGCAGTTACTCGTTCCCAGTATCAGGCTGCACGGTTTTATATCCACCTTAATGGAACACAAACACTAGCTCATGTCTTGGTGATATTCTTTATGCTGTATTTCCTATATCGAGAGGGAAAGCTTGTCTATAAACAACGCTGGGCTTACTTCAAAGGTTTTTGGAATTGGGTTGAAGTTATCCTAATTATCTCCGAATTTTTGCTTATCGTTCTCTTCCTTGCACGTCTGTACGAAGTTGACCGGAATATTCATCAGTTACGAGAAAATCCAAATGATTACGTTGGTTTCCAGTACGCCGCAAATGCAGATGCCCTGATGACATACGTTATTGGTATCCTGGTGTTCTTCTATATCTTACGCTTCTTGCGTCTTTTGAGATTCAACAAGAACTTCCTTGTGATTGGCAAGACAATGTCGAGAATTAGTTCGCCAATTTTGAGTTTCTGTCTACCCTTTATTTCTGGATTCTTTGCATTTGGCATGTTGGCTTTCACGATGTTTGGTACAGAACTCGAAGACTACAGCACTTTCGTAAGAACAATGGTGACGCAATTCAGTATAACTTTGGGAGACTTTGATTTCGAAGCCATATTTATGGTCAATCCAACAGTCGCAACTCTCTATTTCTTTTCGTTTATTGGATTAAACGTGATGGTGTTAATGAACATGTTCATAGCAATCATTAACGATTCTTATGCCGAGATTCAAGAAGAAACTGCTGAAATTGAAAACGAATTGGAAATAATCGAATACGTAACAGCTAATGTAACCGGTTTTGTTAATGGCAAATTTCACCGTGGTAAAGTAGGCCCTGAAAAAAAGAAGAGAAACAAACGCAAACGAAAGTCTAAGAAATTGGCTCCTTTCGAAGAGTTCTCGAATGAGTTAGATTTGCGTGGGAAAAAGTTAGTAATTGTTGTGGATGTCTTTGAGAGAAGTATGGAAGAGGATGAAATAGAAGAAAATAAATTTTGTTCCGTACCAAAAGATAAACAGCAAGATATGTTCTTCAGATTGTTGTGTTTAATGGAAAGTGTGCTTGATGCTGAAGATGCAAGCAGTGATGACGAATTCAGCGATGATTCGATGGATCAAAATCGTAAAGAGAATAGCGGTGACGAATCTGATGATAAATACGGTGATGAATATAGTGGTGAACTTGTTGATTATAAAGAGTCTGGTGATGAATCTGGTGATTCAAGCCTTTGAAGAATATGGAGATGAATCAAGCTTTCTAGTGAAAAATATTTGTTTCTTTTATACTTCTAAATACTGCAATGATTAATCTTGGTATCACCAAGGCACAACACAGAGTTAATTGAACTATCTGAAAGAATATTTAATGAATGTATTCCGCTAAATTTTCACTTCGACCGTATCATAACGTATCATAGCATTCTCTTTAGTGTCGAAGTCATTAGTTCCACTCTAGTGCTCAGGAAACAAAGAAATACACTACGCTTCGGTACGATACGTTTGAAGTGGAAAACTGGCTTAAGAGTTATTACTGACGCTACGTCCACACTAATCCGTTTTCGCAGCGTTTTCGTATTAATTGTTTCAAGAAATTAGACCATTGTTCTCTATTCTCTTGTGAACGGAGAACAATAAGAAAACGGATTAGTGTGGACATGTCCTGAAGATTCCAAAGTATATAGGGATTGACGTTGTCTTTCAGGCTCCAGGGGAACACAAAAATTTTTTTAACATAATACATTGACTGCATGATTTATCTTTCTTCACTATTTTATTTGCTTTACTACAAATAATATTCTGTATTGCATGCAAGACACGCCGTCAGTTTAATTTTTTGACTAAGACACTAAGTTAATTTTATTGCACTATCTTTTTACTATGTCAGACCTCGGACCCTGTTCATTAAGCAAGGTCTTTTTTAACGAGTACTAATTAATGTTCATTGTAATTTACGTAGTTTGTTGTTGTTTTTTGTTGAACTTCCTCATCTTTTATTTTAAGGTTTGTGACACAGGTGGCAGAATTCGGTGCCTAGCTATAAATAAATAAATAGGCCTGATACAAACCTTAACAAAAGTCCATGCCGTACAACCGTATTTCGGTTGTAAATCTGATTGGTCAATGAGACAAAATATTTTTTAATTTGTTTGCTTTGACCAATTTACCTCGCACATGACTGGTGAACTTAAAATTGCCTTCATTGAAGTCGATGTTATCCGCAAGTTTGGGGCCGATGTTAGAAAAATATTCATTGAATGCAAAATATTCATTGCATGAATGTATTCATTGAAAAATATTCATTGATTGTAGTCATATTCGGTAGTAAACCCCATTGGAGTTTCATCCCATGGGGTACCCACAAACACCCCATTGAGGTCAGTCCTCAAAACACTCCCATTGGTGCATCCCCAAACACCCCAATGCCCCCAAACACCCCCATTGGGGTAACCCTAAACACCCCATTAGGGTATGTAGTCATGGTCATAATAGTCATGTAATAAATTAATCATAATAATAATAATAGTGGGTTTATTAATACACGTTCAATAGCAAAAAGCTAAATTACAAAGTGTTTACATCGTCAGATATTAATTAGAATTAATTAGAATTATTACTTATTTAAAACTATTTACATCAATGGACCTATATGTATATTAAAATCGTTTATATATATATATATATATATATATATATATATATATATATATATATATATATATATATATGGAATTGTATAAGTAAGAGTTATAAACCGAGTAGGAGGTTTATAACGGATATATTGACCCGAGGACGCGTACCGTCCGAGGGGCAATATATCAGTTATAAACCGACTTACTCGGTTTATAACTAACTTATATCACACTTGCGGAGGTTTTCCAACATATTTTGTCATTTTCAAACATTTTTAATGAAAAATTCTCGCGTTTTGTCTACAAGTTTAATCCAATCATTTATTCAAGGTCTATAAGCTAGTTATAAACCTCGGACGAACAAAGAAAACCGACGCAAGTGTGATATAAATATGTATATAAATCTTACTTATCTAATTTAAAATTATATTCATTAATAGCATGAACTACAGGGCTGTTTCTAAAACGTTCAGTGTTGCAAAAAAGTTATAAATCTTTTCGCCATTTGTCCTAGTCTCTCTTTCCCTAATGTCACTCAGTTTCTTTGGCAATATTCCGTGAAGTCTGTGTGATGGTTGTATCATGTTCTCAATTAAGAAGGCACATAAATTGTTTCTGCATTCTTCTAAGGTCAGCAGATTGCTCTGAGATAATAGAAGTCCATAATCACAAAGGCCAGGATAAATTATTCGGAGGGCTCGTTTTTGGATTCTTTCTATGTTTTTCTTATGCATTTGTGTCAGACCACCACTCCAGATTTGTGCACCATACTCCAGAACAGAACGAATTACTGTACAATAGAAAGCTAATAGGTCATTTTTTGGTGCACCATAACTCTTTAAAATCTTCAAAAGGTAAAGTCGCTTAGCGCCTTTTTTTACAATATACTCAGTGTTGGTTTTCCATCTCATAGTCTATC